GGTTTAGCGTTCTTGACAATGTGAACGTTGCGACATGCGCACGGATTGACTTTACTCTGGGATTTCTTCATCATGAAATGTTACAGTAGGTACTGTACCTCATGTGAATACAGTTTTAACCATGAGGAAACTCACACATACCCTCAAACAAGAACAAGTGTGACCTGGAATCGATTCTACTGCTTAAAACTGGAAGTCAGATAATCATAATGTAGGTATTGCATGACAATTGTGGTAACGCGTGATCACATACAGTACGCGAGAATGTACTACCTCGTAATTACTTTCTGTATCAAATTAATTGCTATATCCAATGTTCCCATAATTACGAGTTAGCAGATTAGCTCGTAATGAAGAGTTAGTAACTCTCGCATAGTTTATGTGATCACGCGATAGCACAAATTGTAATGTACATTATAATTGTCTGACTTTCAGTTTTAAGCAGTAGAATTTTTAAGTACACTTGTCCTTGTTTGAGACTATGTATGCGTGTCCTCAAGGGTAAAACTGTGTTTACATGAGGTACTAACAGGAACATTTCATTATGAATAAACATTAGGTGAAAGTAATTCCGTGCGCATTTTGCAGCATTGTCAAGAACACTAAACCCACAGTTTTAGCAAACGTATTGAGAGCTTGTAGGTATTGTCAGTGCACAGTGTAACAGGTTGTACATACAGTGAAATCATCGTTGAAATTAGAGTTATCTCGTGATTATGAGATAACTCTGGATGTTTTTTTCCCCTTGGTGGCAGCAATGCACTTCCGCAACTAGCAAAACTGCAAGGTAAAAAACATATTTGATCTTTGAGAAATGTATTTTAAAAATCTTTCCCAGTCAGGGATCAAGAAGGGAGGAAAAACTATAATTTCAGACAGGACAGTTTAATCTCACAGGTCCAGTATTGATGCTTTTACTTCTTCATGATTATTTGTAGTGGACAGGATTTTAAACACAAAACCTTGAGAACAGTGGTGTGACAGTTTCCTCTTTCCCCTTGTCCTGCCACTGCTGGTCATCACCACTGCTCTATTTCTGGGCTGTGTAGAGATGCAAAGAATTCACCGTGAAGTTCAGCGAAGCTTTAAGATGAGTTTTAATTTGTGATGAAAAAGGCCATTTCAGGAGAAACTGAAGAAGACAGAGAGTTTTATAGTCCAAGTACAGATCTATGTTAACAACAGCTCTATGATATTTCCATGAAAGGGTGTTTCTCATTACCACTGCATGCGTATTAGAACTACGGAAAATACTTCACCTTTGGCATAGAGGCTAAGGTTATCCCTGACTGTCAGTTGTTTCTGAAACATCACATACAGTACAACAGGTATCTATTTAAAAAACACTCAAGCCAGGTCAGATTTCTACAACTGGCACTGATGTGGCTGGAGCACTTACTTTCCTCACCAACACCAGACAGGGATCAGACCCAAGACCCCAGAGAAGCTCTGGTCCCTCCTCAGTCTCAGCTCTTGCTTCTGTGGAATTCGGATGCCTCCTTCTTTTGCCCTGTTGACAAGTGACAGTGCAGAGCAGCCTGTGAGACAATTCAGACCCAATCATAGCTGAAAAGGCGATGATGCCAAGAGCGAGGGCCAGGTTTTGTGTAACACTAAACCTGGAGCCACTGTTTGTCTTGCAGGGATAATTTCTCTTCCCCGTGAATAAGAAACTCAGTGTGAGCTCCGAAGCACTACAGATGTGTCATCACCAACTCCCCAGGGTAGGCCGAAGCTACCAGATGTGTTTCCATTATCAGACAAGGGACTCTCCCTCTTTGAAGGTACATCTCATAGAAGTACAAAATCATTTACATTCAGCTGTAGAACAACAGAGCAGCAGGTGCTTATCAGTTTCAGGAAAACACATTTCTAC